AGCAAACTATGAACTGAAACCTCTATAAATTGTGAGCCAAAACAAAACTCTCCCTTAGATTTACGGGTATCAGGTATTGTGTCCCAGCACTGAGAAAGTGACTAAGATACAGACAAATCTTTGCCTTCCAGAAAACACCAAGCAGCTTCTTAGTGTTACTTGATGGCCAACTTACAATTTCCAAGGTCATCTTTCCGGCTGTGGACACCATCTCCTCTGGGAAGTCTCCTTTAGCCTCTCTGGGCCATGCTGAGGCATTCTGGGCTTCTGGCTGCCTCACTTGTGATCAATCACACAGACTTGGCTTCTGTTTTTGTCAGTTTGGTTTAGTCAGCCTGACTTCCTTCCTGTGCTGCAGGGCTTCTCAAGAATGGGTTCTGTGCTATATTCTTCTACTACCTGGCATGCAGCAGACTCAATGGATATTTCTTGTATAGAGGTACAAAGGAATATAATCAACATCCTGGTGTAAATCTTGTTGTTCAAAACTCAATTAGCAAAGTCTGGTCCAACAGAAATGCTTTTTGGCTGATAAGACACACAGTTTTAACATTAACCCAATTCCCTTGTTTGCAACCTTGTTCCTATATACAGGCAGAGGCCTTCCTGTTTCTGTTCTCTACTAGGAAAAGTCCTCTGTCACTCGGATAGGCTAAAGTGTGGCCACACACTGGTTAGCTCCATGTTGGCATACTGAGCACCTTCTGCACTGAGATGGAGAAGGCAGTGCAGGGAGCACAAACTCCAACAACCGCCAGTCCACACCAGGCAGCACAAGGCTGGGGCCCCAGGGACTTTTCATACACAGAAGAGTGCAGGGCTAGCTTCTTTCCAAAAGGAAAGAGACGAATAGCCTAGGATTATTAACTAAAAGCAATCACATCAACAAAAAACATAATTTACATTTAAAAAGCTATCAAATGCTGCTAAATAAAGAACTCGGGTTGTTCTAGATTCTTGCTGTAAACTAGAAATTCAGTGCCCAAGTTCCATCATTTCTGCCTTGCCCACCCTATGTGCCATCTGCATTTACAGCCACTGGGAACTCATGGCTAAATCACCCTTCTCCCTATTTTATTCAGAGACCCAGTCACAGATCTAGGATGCCTTCCAAGTCAGGCATGAACTGTTCCTCATTATCTTCCTAATCTCATCTCCTGGGACATTTTTGATAACCCTGGAACATACTAGGAACATCCTACCTCTTTCCTCTGGAAATGCTCTTCCCCAGATAATCTGGCCCCACGTTACTCTTGGATCTCCTCCAAGAGTCCACTTAAATTCTATCATTGTAAAGAACCCTGCTCACCCTGGCAACTCGCCTGTCCACACCCCTAAATTTCTTCTACTTGCTCCCCTAGTAATATTTATCAAACTCTACCATTTCTTAATTAATTCTTATTTTGAGCTATTGGTAGAATGTAAGCTTCCTAGAGGCAATGATTTTTTTTTTCAGCTTTGTTCACTGGTCATATCAGTTATGACCAGTAGTGACACAAACAAGACTGACCAAACCAGTGTATCATAAGAATGTCCATTCCGTACCATTGTCTTCCCAAGATTGGTGCATACATTGACCATTGATTTCAGACCTGCGTCTATAACTGCAGTCAATATAGAGGTATTTTCATTGAAATCTTATTGGGAAGTAAAGTTAACACCATACAATATATCATTCCTCCCATACAACAAGAGGCACATAGGCTAATTAGTGATGCTGATCATCTAAGAGAACTAAAGAATGTGATGGCCGGGGGTTTAGCTCAACGGCATAAGTGCCTGTCTGGCAAGCATGAGGTCATGAGTTCAATCCCCGGTACCAAAAGTGATGATCAGAAAAGCTATTATAGTTTTGGAATATTCACACTGTATGGTTAGAGTCAAAACACGGAGTGGTTCTCGGGAGGCATTGGGTCACGCAAATCAAATAATAGGTAATTTATCACTAACTTCACTTTTTAACAGTTTGGTCAGATTCCCACCTACTCTAATATCTCAGTTTGAGAAAAACATCATTTGGAAAGAGAAAACTATAGTTACCCAAGACCGAGTTTGGCCGAGATAGTAGAGTTTACATTCCACTGTTGGCTAGATCCTAACCCCATGGAATGTGACAGAACTGGATTCAGGCCACAAGAGGATGGCAGTGCTCTGACCCAATACCACCCCAGGGAACTCTACATTAACGCACACATCATGATATGTGTCCTGAGTGCAGGACACAGTGGCTTCAAAATTCCCCTCCCACTTCACCATCGCCCAAGGGACTGCACCTGAATGAAGGGACACACTTAAGCACCACTTCTGGGCCACCCTATGTGCCTCATGGACCTCCGTGCACACTCACTGTGGTCTCTGCCTAGGTGAGGAACAGCAAGCAGAGGTCTGGCATGATGCTGTGAAGGACAGGTCTGCCTCCAGGTCCTGGGAGAATAAAAAGCATAGGGCAGAACTCCAGCGAGGCTTGGGTTTGGGGGTCTTACATTCCAGAACTGGGGGACAGTGCCCCTATTCGATCCGAGTCCTTCAGGACAGGAAACCTGTAAGTCAACACACCAAGGAATACAGCATCCAACAGGCGCAGAGGCCAGGGAGGTCACAGGACACCTGCAGTGCTGGTGCCGCCTGTGCAAACCCTGCAGCTCCTCTATGCCAGGAGCTGGGACCCTGCTGCCCTGAGACAGGCCCAGGAATCCACATCGGAGGATGCTTCAGGGGACACATGCGCAGGCCACGCTTTGAACACCATTTTCAAATCTCAGCCCAGCTACTTAAAAGCTTCTTACTGAGTAAATACTTTAAATATTTGAATTCGTCTTCATGACTGTTAATCATTCACAGAGCCCATCCATTCTTTGTGCTCTGAATTCTTTTCTCTTACAAGGAAACCTTTAGGCAGGCTTAGCTCATCTTAACTGAAATTTGGGGGGGATACTGAATTTAAAAAGGCAGCGAAATTTCTGCAGCCACACAGTCCACGAGGCGCAGAAATGGCTCACCTTTCCGGGATTTTATTTAAGGCCATGATACACCAGAGCCGAGTCCCTCCGCTGGTCAGCGTGAGAGCTCGCAATTACCAGCAGCTCTCGGGGTGGAGGGCACAGAAACCTGGAGGCGCACAGGGCAGGGCCGGCCGCTCCTCGCGTCTCCTTGGAATGGAGCCGCGGTTCACGCAAGGTGACAGGGTGGCCCTCGAACTGCTTGGCACAGGCTGCTCTACTTAACGAGTGCTCAGAATCGCTCTCGGCATGGAGAAATTCACCCTGACCCTGGACGCTTGCCCCCTGGCATCCACTCACTTACATTTTTACTCAATTACTATTTCTAAGAACACAGACCAAAAAAAAAAAAAAAGTCGCAGGGCCCCACTGCATGGAATGTGTGAGCAGAGCCCTAGGGCTCTGTGTAGGCCCATCTGCCACGAGTTCACGGACACCCGCTGCACGGGAAGCCATGCAGGCCGGGCCATCTCTCCTTTCCTGATTTTTCCAGAGTTGCTGGGCATAGGGGGTGCGATGTTTTTTTTTTCACCAGAAGAAAAGGGAACCTTGCAGTGATAAAGTGACTGAAAACGGTCCCCAGCGATGAGTGTCTGACCCAGAATGGCCTGGGCCTTCTTGCTTCCTAAGGGAGGAAGGGATGAAAAGGAGAGTAGACATGAATGGGACCGGATTCCCATGGGAAAGCACAGCAATAGGAAGCCAGTCCCAGGCCACTGTGATGGGACAGAGGGCATTCTGGCCAGACCTGAATTAATCATTATATTTAGTTATGCATTTATTTTGATTTTTTGAAACAGGGTCTCCCTATGTAGTTTAGGCTGCCCTTGACCTCACAATGTAACCCTGGCTACACCTGTATTTAGATGTTGGCTCTGCTTCCAGTTAGCTGTGACCAAAGATGAGTTATTTACCTCTCCAAACCATAACTTCTTGAAAATTGGGGATGATCACCTTGGCCTCCCCTGACCAAGCAATGCTGGAAGGAACAGAGGGCCAGGAGTATTCAATTAATGCTTTCTTCTCTCTCATTCTCTTTCCCCTTTCTTTCCAAAAAGCCAGGCAGTGAACGGGGGGAAATCGGACATTTAAGCTCTTGGTTCAAACACTGAAATCAAATAAAAATTCAGAGCTTGAAAGCAAAATATTACCTGACTCACAAAAGGGAGTAACCACGGAGTTAATCTTGCACTCTTTTCATTCACACAGCAGCTTCAGGCTGTTGTGAGTCTTTCCGGACCAAAATAAATGTATAATCTCAATCGAATCAGGTTTTGTTTTGTTTCTGTTTTCAGGAAACCCTAGCTTAGGCCACTGTAAACCAACCATACTGATAGCTAAGCAGCAAGGTCAAGCAAGGTATGCTGCAGAACAGGGTGTCCAGGGGACCAGGCCTTCATGGTCCCCCCCCCAGGACCTCCATCCACCTTTAGAATCAACACAGCCTCACCTCCGCAGGGCCACCAGCGAAGTGGTGGGCTAGTGACATGACAGCCAGTCTGTCTCTGTTCTTTCCTGACCCGTGACAGCCTTTCATCTTGTGCAGCCCAGACATGTCACACACAGTGGCATCAGCATAACGCTCCCAGGGGCCTCAGAGGAGAGATCACCTCTTTCTTCTACTTTGGTTCACAGTAAGAAACAGCAATTAGCACTCCACTGACATGCAGGCTGCCCTGCTCAACCCTCCAGAAAGCAGCCTCCATGGGACCCAGGTCAACATTTCAAATCTTTCTGTGACCCCCGCAATATGTATCTCACAGCTATAAGTCATTCTTTCACGGACTGCTGTCAAGTCTAAGCTGTTCATCGGCTTAGGAGTTTCATGAGAAACTCACAAAAGGACAACTAGAAAATTGCAGGTACTTTTGTGATTTCTTAGTTAAGAGGATGCATCAGAATCCTATTTTGTGCCTGACATGTTCCCCTGGGACACAGATATGACAGATGGATCAGACAGCATCATGTCAAATGAGGAATAAAGCGGACGAGTGTACTCACCAAGGTACCCACAGAGCACCTGGGACTGTCTGACGCACAAGCTGCCCACTGAGCCAGAGGGTGTTGTAACAACTGGGCAGGCAGCTAGGAGTTTTAAAAAGCACAGTCATTATCTATTTTACTGACAAAATGCCTGGTACAGCACTATACAAAGATTCAAAGTAGAATAGGGTCTCAAGACTGTTCTCATTACCTTTCCCAGGAACACAAGGTCCCTGCTACCCAGGGCCAGGGCACTGGACACTAAGACCTTTGTTGACTCTGGGTCTCCTGGAATCTCTCACCCAGCAATCAGACTCCAGAATTCACTGTCCCTTTTATACACTTCAGCATTAAAAATATCAATGTACATTTCATGTACTGAAACAATAAACATAAATACCTTGACTTATATTAAAGATTAAAAAAGAAGCCTTGACCCACTTTGACAAAAGACAGCCCACCTGTTAAGATTAAAACTTGGACTTTCATTTGGCTGGCCGAGATTCCAGTGTTCTTAAAACCACCTGTCATCATGTTTTACCCACATATGAAAACTCTTTCTTGAATGAGTCAAAGATACAAGTGGATATTGGTTTGGAGCTACTTGAAAAGCTAGAACTCTTTGAAATGGATTAAACATATCTTCCCAGGGAGTCATGACATCCTGAAACTCTCAGCTTCATTTTCTTTAAAGTAACAGCAACCAATTCGGATATTCTTGGAGAACAGAATGTATCAAAAAAAAAAAAAAATCTAACAGTGAAGGGAAAACATTGCTGAGTGTTCAAAAGTAGGATTTTTGCAGGAGCAGATGTGGATGGAACCCCTGTTTACTGATTTCCCAGGAATCTTCATACAAGGCCTGAAGTTACTCAGGCCTCTGTGTCTGTTACCATTGAGAGTTTTCATAAAATTAAAATGAGATGCTATATTGAAGAGACTGACAAAGACAGAAGAAGGGATGGAGAGAGGTAATTGTCTTAGTTGCCTAATCGATGTGAAGAAGCCCTGTCTGCTGCCTGCCTCCAAGGTCTCTCTTGTTCTTCCATCCTAGTTCCTTGCACAGATTCTGGATCTGTGCACCTGCTAGTTACACAAGGTGTATCTTCTACAAGTAACACTACCAGTGCTGGCTCATGAACTGAAACCATCTTTTGACAAAAGTAAAAGGTCTCCCAGATTCTTCTTTCAATTTTTTGCTGTATTTGTGCCACTGGTCACTTGATTTTAAACTGGGTAATAACCACCTTTCTCACACCTGACCACTTCTAACACAGGGCTCACTTACGAGCCCTTAGGGGCAGAGATTCACATGGTGATTTCCAGCTAGGACATGCTCTAGCTGATAGATGGGGCTCTCCACAGCCAGGGTGGCATGGAAGATGAAGGCCAATACCCAGTCTCCATAAGCACATGCTACTGTCACGCTGTCACCATATGCTGCTTCAAGCTGACATCTGCTCCCATATGTTCCCATCAATAGGCACCACACTGTTTATTTTTAGAGCTTTTTCCAGTCTGATAGGAGACTATTCTCTCAAACAACCAGTCAGCAAAGCCAGGAAGCTACATTTCGTATAAATTGTTTGTCACAAGATTAGCAAGTCAAACAAAGTTTTCTCATTCCTGCCTGACCTTTTAAAAAGAGAGGCTGAAAGTTATCTTAAATAAAAGCCTGATGAGCAGAACCAAAGAAAGGCAGACTGTTGAGTGAGTTGCTTGGCAGGAATACTTTTTCTCTACACTATGGCCCTATGCATTTCTTGGGGGAATTTCAGCGCTTTCCCTGGGAAACAGCACCTTCTTCAGGCCAGTATATGTCGAGGTACAGAGGCTGGGCTTGGAATTCAGATCTCTTACATTGCCTAAGGTCCCCCAAGGCAGAGGAGTCTTTGTGAGAACAAGGCGAGGTAACTGCCGTCACCCGTAATTGCTAGCATGCAGTTCTCACTGGTGCACTTCTCCTTTACTTTCACTATGCTATGAAGATGTGGCATTCAAATCCTTCCTTTTTTATTTTTTTCATTTTTAAGCAAGGCTGAAGACAGGAGCTTTGGTGCTGATTCAGTGCCTTAGCAGTTAAGCTTACAAGCACAGCCAAGGTAGAGCAATGTTTAATGGGGATTATTTAAGCCACTGAAAGAAGTCTTTAGTCTTTAAATGATCAACTTGTGATCATGTACAGGATTGAAATAGGGCTGTGGCATGGATATACCTTTTGTAGATCAATGACATTGTAGATATATGTGAAATGTTTTATAAAAATGAAGCACTGTGAAAATCCAAGGCACTTACAGTCTTAAAAACAATACCCTTTGGAAAAATTTAGTCACTATTAATAATGTGAAAACATGGATCACATCAGTCATAAAATAGTAGTCTAGAATTACAATTTTACATGGGTGATTTATAATATAACTAAATGACTATAACATGAAGAAAAAAGTGTTAGGGATAATTTTTCCCTATGAAGACACACCAAAGGGAAAAAGCAACGTAACAGAACCATGACGCTTCCAGAGTGTTTCTGAACCACCTGCCTGAGAATCACATAGCCTTCATCTAGAATGCAGGCTCCTGAAATCCGCCTTAACATTGCTGAATAATATCCTACATTGGGGCAGGAGACAAATGCCTAAATACTTGGCATTTATAAGTACCAAGAGTGATTGTTTTGCATGGCTCAATTTGAGAATTAGCGGTCCAGGCCTTTGTGACTTACAGGTTATAAAGTCCCTTTACCTCATTTGGCCTCAAAAAGTACCCACCTGCTAGATCAAGGTAAACTTCACCCAGCAATAGGGATACATGTTCTGATTAAGCAATGGTTTTGTATAAAGTACCCATAGCTAAAGTCATGCTTACTACAGTATCTTAAACAGATTTAAATACCACTAAAATTTTTCAATACATTTCATAAATTAGCTTTCACTTCTCCCAACTCCTCTGTACAAACATTAATGCATCTACCTCTTGCAATTATAACAATTCTACAAGTGTATAGTATCATTTTATTCCAGTGCTGAACTACAATGAGGTTCTATTCTACTTAAGCAAATTCTAAGAAAGAAAGGAAAACTGGTTCAAATGCATGATTAGTGATCAGAATCGCTCAAGATCTGCTTTTTAGAATTGGAGTCCTTGTGACAAAGAATTAATAAAAGTAGACATGACTACATGCAGTTTCAGTACTGATGGCAATATTTTCTGACAGTGGAATTCTCCTGAAATATATGTCTCCTAGACGAATGAGCACCAGTCACCTCCTTTCACAGCGGTAATTTTACTAGGTGAGACCTCACAAGTTTACTAGGTGAGACTATGGCAGTTCATTGATCTGACCAGGAACTTTACTTATTATTGTTTAACTATCTAAGGCTGGCTGTTATGCAGAGCTACTAACAAATAACTGAATTACTACTCAAGTTAACATGATTATTAAAAAATGACTAAAAATGTCTCATAAAAAGAAGTTAGGGACTGATGCCAGCAACTAGGACTGTGAAGCTAAGCAGACATCTCTCAAGGTGGAACCTGCTGCCTCAGCACATACAGCAATGGCTGTAACTCAACTTTGATTCTACCTGACCACTTCCGTGTTAAGTCTGGAGCTTGGGAGTGCTGCTCCAAAATCCCAAGGGATACACTTGGATGTGGAAAGATTTACCAAGAAAATCCCAAGAGATCTCCAAGGGTATGGTTCATACACCAAATCGTCTATCCTCTGGAAATAAATGTCTTCTATTTGTGATTGGTCTTATTGCTTTATTTCCTTACAAAGTAGAAACAGAATAAATCACCCACCTTTCTTTCTTTTGGACCGAGGTGGCAGCTTCACTACAGAAGTTCATTAATGAAGCAAGTTGTGGTGACACACCTGCAATCCAGCAAACAGGCTGGCCAAGTCAGGAGAACTGCAAGGTTGAGGACAACCTGGGCAACAGTAAGACAGTAAGAGCGCAAGGAGAAGGGAAGGTGGGGGAAGAGGACAGCAAAAGAAAGGAAGGAGAGAAGGAAGGCCGGTAGGTAGGTGCAGGGGAGGTACATCTGTAAGGTTCTTGGGTTGACTTCTCAGCACTGTTTTATTATAAAGCAAATAAATGTGATTAGGCTAAAAAGCTAAAAAAAAACGATGCCCATACAAAAAAAGGTATTCTCTAAATGAAGAGATGAGAATAATTTTTGATAAACTTGGTCTGCAAAGCATCGAAATTATCAACAGTAAAACAGACCCTGTCTCAAAAAGACAAAAAAAAAAAAAAAAAAAAAAAAAAAAGGCCGGGCGTGGTGGCTCACGCCTGTAATCCCAGCAATCGGGAGGCTGAGGCAGGAGGATCCTTGCGAGTTCGAGACCAGCCTGGGCTACAAAGTGAGCTCAAGGCCAGCCTGAACTCTCAAAAAGACAAAAAAAAAAAAAAAAAAAAAGATTCCAAAACTTCAAAATTAAATTGTATTTCCCAGAACATTTCCTATTTATGTTTTGGCAACAGTAAATATTTCAGTGCTTTTAAAATTTATTGAAAAATCCACAACAATCTTTTCTCAGAAAGACATCTGCAAAGAGCAGGGAGCGGACTTGACATGTCTGTCTCTCTTAGAAGAAACTGAATCCTTGTGCACCAGATGAAGTAACAAATAAGGATTGTTACAACCGCCTGGAGTTATGAATGAATTTGCTTATCTGTAACTAGCTTGTCAAGAGAGATGTGGTATTTGTCAGTGTGGAGTGGGCCGGCTAAAGAAAGCCAAGAGAACAGAGCCAAGGTTTAAGACACAGCATTTTTCTTTCTCTTTCATGAGACAGAGAAGATGCTACAGAGTGTCCTAAGACAACTCCAGAAGCGCACTCTAGTTCTCCAATAGCTGCCCGGTAGCTTGTATTTCTGAAACCCAGTGTCTTCTCTTCCAGAACAATCTGCTTCCCAATGGCCACGCTGAGAGCGCCTGGCAGGCCTGAGGACTGAGGCCACTCACGCTCCCTGAACTCCGATGCCTGGACCGCGCTTATGTGAGAAGAGGCAGCGGCCTGTGGAGGGTGGGAAATGTGTTCACACCATTTTCTGAAGGTTTGGGCAGTGCAGCATGCAGAAAGCATTTTCCAT